TTCACTTTGGATCTCAATAAAGCAGAGAGAAGTGTACATATTAAAGTCATTAGAAAACTTAATCAGTAGAAATCTTTGATATTTTTTAATAGCTCATATATTTTAACAATTATCTTTTTGTTCCTGCAAGTGGAATACTTTATAGTAAATTAGTTTTTTCACTTGGTCTGTGTGTTTTAACATCCAATTCAAATTTTTGCATTCCATATTTCTTACATCATTTTCAATCTCAACAACTTATTAGGGAAACTAATAATAATTTTTAAAACAATGAATAATGAACATTAAAAAATAAACATTGATTATGTTTATTTTCTTTCTTTGATATTTGTCTTGATAAATAAAATTTTTAAAATGATTAATACAGATATTTTTTTAAAAACTTACAAATGAATCCACTCATTATAAAAGAATTTATTTAAAATGACAATCTAATCAAATTACAAAATCGTTTTGAATTAAGAGCAATATATTTGATTCTACCAATATTAAATAGCCATATAATATAGATTAACAATGTCCAAAAATGATCTTTATTCTAGACTAAATAAGAGTATAACTGAACAAAATATGTCAAGAAAGTAAGTTGGATTTGTTTATTGTGCAACCATTTTCAAATTTATACAGAATCCAAATGAGAAGTGGTATTGTACTTAAAGAAACAAGATGTTATGTCATCCTGCTCATTCTCAAATACCTTGACATAATGTGTTGCACTTAGATGCAATGGTCAGAATGTCAGTACTCAGAACTACTATAGATGCAATTTTAGGGAAAGAAGTCAAAGAAATTTATCATGAATTAATGTAATGTAAGCTTTATGTTTCAAACCTGTAAATTAGTATTTCTTCCAGTAGTATTTTTACTTTTTCATTAATCACCAATTCTTTAATTGATCTAGAAAATTATTGATGTATAGTGTTCCACAACTACGTTGTTATAAATTAAGAAACGTCACAAAAATACTTTTGTAAATTGTAAATGTTAAAATTTATTTAACTTATACTATATATTTATATTACTTTTATTGTGTTTTAATGTTATTCTGTTTGAAAAATAAAATGCTTTAAACTATATCGAAATTCTCTTTTATATTCTGAAAATAACCAGAATAAAAATAGGAAAGTGCATTTGACAAATACATATGTTTTTGCTCATATCATCAATTCTGAAGAATTTATCTTAGAAATTTTGAAAACTAAAAAAATTTTATTTTATAGTATATTTCATCTAAATATGATAAATCATTTAAAATTATCTATTCTTGTGAATATGCTTAATTAAATCAGTAATAGTTTTAAAAACAAAGAATTCTTTTCATGTAATTTGATTTTAAACTCATGGTGCAAGATTTTATTTTATGAAGAGCAAACTAATCAATTTGAATAACTTTTGTTAAGCAACAAGTTAGAAAAACAATACAAATTCCATGAAATGGGCAATGTTCAGCAGCTCTTTCTGCTCTTTCTTATTTTAACATTATATCATAATGTCATTTAGAAGGTATTTTAAAACGTTAAAAAGGAATTTAAGTTAAATGTTTATTACTAGCAAGGGCTCATTTGAACTGATATGAATATTGAGAAGTATAGCCAAAAACTTCCATCATAATACACCATGTTGTCTATTTGCAATGACTATCAATTATTGTTTTGGACTGTAAATGCAAGGCATTGGTGATTGTAATAAACATCTATTTCAGACAAGATGAAATAGGCAAAAATGTATCTTAAAATCAAAGAAATACAATACAGAATGAGTCACTAACTTTTTTACTTCTGATAATGTTTTAAGTATTGCTGCTACATAAGCTTAAATATATAAATAATAAAAACATTAAATGTTTCCTTCAATATCCTTTAATTTTCATCCAACCTATTTTATGTTGCAAAACATAATATATCAAAAGTGAAAGATGTGGATAATTCATCATGTATATGTAATGTAAACATAACAAAATTAAAATTTGCAAATCATTTCATTGTTTTACTCCATTAATTTATTTTTACTGCTATGCATTTAGAAATATCAATAAATTAAATTTTTTTTCCTTATATTTTTGATACTGCAATTAAAATGAAAATTGAAATGAATATGTGCACACCCCTACAAAAAGTGTCCAAAGTCCATTCTCATAGGGAATACTGTCTTAATGTAAATTATTACTACATATTTTTTATTTATAGATATTGAGAAATGAATGAAATACACCACAAAAAGAGCTAGAACTGTTGCTATTGTATTGGACAAGAGTCAAAGGCTTGTAAAAATGTTCCAGCAAATATAGCATGATAAAAAATAAACCCTAGTGGAGCACTTAAAGACTATTGATAATGTTTCAGACAAGGTACACAGTAGTAATTCTCAGACCTTCACCAATTAAAAAAAATGACTCCTATAGATATCATGAAATTCCACAAAATATACACAGTATATATATATATATTGCATGGACCCTATATAATGCCTCATATCATCAATTCTGAAGAATTTATCTTAGAAATTTTGAGGCATATTCAGGTCTTTCTAGAAAAATAATAAATAAAAAAAACCCATAAAGATTCCTTTCCTTTTACTTAGATACTTATCTAAATAAACCATCTAAGATATTTAGCAACAAAACCAAAAGTCAAAGCTTCTACACGGAAATTACTCAGGATGAAAGTTGTAGCTTAAATCAATTATTTGTCATACATGTAATACACTTAAATTAATATAAATACTGTAATTCAATCTTAAAAGATATTAAAGCTACTGAAATGCAAAATCAGATTTGTAAAACTGCTTTTGTTTTATTTTTCAACTAAATAAGCTTTACTATTGCTGTTGCTATTATTTTAAAAATTAAAAAAAAAATCAATACTGTAGATTAGTTTATACTGATTACATTTCAATACATATAATATGTTTAAAAACAAATTAATTTAACAAGAATTTGATTCAAAGTATTATATTTTGTTTTGATTTGAACACACAACATTCAATGCAGATAATTATTTATATAATTAAAAACGTATTGGTTTCAAAGATGTTTGATGAAGTTTAAGAAAACAGAATAAATGCTTTTCAACAGAACAACGATGAAGAATTTAGTTCTGTTGAACAGTTCTATTAAATTTGAAAAAGAAATTCATAAACATGTGTATATATATTATATAAATTATTAATTCTAATGTTTCTAATTTTAGAACAAAAGTGAATGTATTGATATTGAATATAAAAGCAATATAATACAGAAGCAAGTTAAAATCATATATATTAGAGTTTCAGGAATTTAAAAATTAATTCTACTGAAATAGTAAATCCTTATTGATTAATGGGAGTACACTCATAACATAATTGCTGATTTGAATATCTCTACTGTTTATGTCATCAACTTAAAATTTTGCAACTTTGTATTATTCTGCATCAATATAAAAAGGCAAAAATGCTATTAAAACAACTTCATTTTCATAATATATATTGTGCCTACTTAAATACATTATCTGGTGTGATTACTGAAATCATTTGATTACAGCTTAAAATTTCATAATTACCTTGGATAATCATTTACTCGGAACAGATTTTAACCACATTTTATAATCAATAACAAATTATGATTCTAAGATTAAAGACTACCTTTCAATAAGCTTAGTTATAGTTGTCACGGGTTCAACACACTAACTACTTACTTTTGGGTAGCGATCCTCCCCATCTTCAGAGCTACTTAGTACTAATATTCAGTAGTTCTGAAGGTGGGAGGATTGCTTCCCAGAAGTACACATTGTGTTAAATCCTTGGTTTTACAACTAAGCTTATCTTAACAAAAAGTAATAAATGCAAATTCTACTTATAGCATTCTTACCAATATAATAAAAATAAAATAGTTAAATAGCTAAGCTCAGTAACTCTCTAAATTTCTTGTTTAGTATCCAAATCAATAGAGTGGATATTTTGTTCCATACATTTAAACTGTAACGAAGCCACAGAAAAAGATATTTAAGTACTGTAAATTCATTTCATTACGTACAAAAAATATAAACTCGTGTCACTTTATCCTATAAATCTGTTCGGAATTACAGCTTTCGTTAAAGGAATTAACGTCGACAGAATTATACATACAAATTCTTCCTATATAATAATTAAAATTTTGATTTATCAATTATTAAGATCACATTAATCTCATTTTCATTTAAGAAAAATGTTTTTAAACACTTTTACTAATAGATTTTCTCGAAACTTTTTCCAATTCAAATAATAGATTCGTAACAAACTTATTACGTTTTCGGTACAAATAAAAGCCACTATTAAATTAACAATAATTTTCGAGGAATAATTTCGAAATCAACAGATCCGACGGGAAATTTCTATTCGAGAAACATTAACTCTATTATCGCACATACGTTTCCGTCAAGAAAAAAAGTTTAAAATTTAGTAACTAAATTAAAACAACGTTAAAATTACGAAATTTAATACCTATCCGCTCGACCGACATTCCTACCGAAATAATTATATTAAAATACCTTAAAGTCTTATAAGATTAATTAACGGCAGATAACGAAGAAGTTACCAAACAACGATAACTTTTTTCCCCGAGGAATTTTAATTTTGCAGGAATTAAAAATAAATAAATAAATTAGGTATTTTAATTCATTTGCATTGAGAATTTGGCATAAATAAACAGTTTTATATATTTACATAAATTGTAGATAATCAGGAAAGATTTAAGAGTAGAAGGATAGGACTTATATAGTATTTATCAATAGACACTAATAATTAAAAGAGAAAATAAATAAATTCAGCCGCTTCCATTCATACCGGAGTTTTCTAATTGATCTCTTCCTCCCACTCCCAAACGCAATCCACACGTTAAACGGCCCCATTCAATTAGTTATTTTCTAATTTTTTTCCTCGCTCCTTCCGTTGTATTTAACGCTAAACCATTACCGCATTTAATAAATGTATATACAGTATACTGTATATAAAACGATCGCGACCACAGATGAAGGAAGAAAACTTACGGCTTTGAGAGCTGCTAAGCGATCCTTGGTCATCTTCACGAAACTTAATGATATTCCGAGTAATCAGTTCTTATATTCTGCGATTTCTATAATAATAAATTACTCTCCGAATAGATTCGACATTTTCACCATATACATCACCAGACGTTCGCGACCGCTCCCTCCCTTATCCTCCGATCGATTAACTGTCAGAGATCGGCCGTCGCCAGCGACCTCTGCCGCCTGTACGTCGGGTGACGTCACGGAAATTTTGAGAAATGCCGCACTCGAGAAAATGCTGCAAGTCGTTTTCACTTCTCTCGAGTTTTTAATTAAAATCTCCAAACGGAATTATTTTATCTCGAAATATTGCAGAGGAAATGTCCAATAATATTTTACTTTATTTATTTTACCATACAAAAAGGGAAAAAAATGAAGTTAAGATTGTTCCCCGAAAACGTCGAGTGATGATGATAGAAACGACTAAAAATATGAATTTGAAATTACAGTCGACCCCCTATAAGATCATTGATTTTTCTGTTTTATATGAATTCCATGTTGTACGAGTCACTTAGATTTTACAAATACGTGTGCCGGGCTGTGAACGGCTCACATATTTGTAAAATCTAAGTGACTCGTACAACATGTAATTCAGATAAAACGGAAAAATCAACGATCTTATAGGGGGGTCGACTGTATTCCTAGTTTTTGGGATTATATAAAATCGATGAGTTTTTACCTAACGAATGCAAATTTGTATAAAGAGAAATTTTTGACTAATCTAGAGCGATAGTCGTCAGTCTGTCGCTCCGAGGAAAAAAATTTTGTTACGTCTGGCCACTCCATTATGAGTCTAGCTGTAAACCACGAAGAACACGACAAGTGACCTTCTTACTGCTCGCGAGATAGAAAAGGTTTTAAAAAATGTTTCCACTTTCGGATATATTCTTTCCTTGGATGAGAGGAAATCTCAAACATTCGTCAGTCTATCCCGAACGCTTTTACCCACGGATGAAAACTGAACAAGTTCGATTCCTAAGCTATAAAAAATTTGCTTTGGAAATGTATTCGAATCGCCTCTCACAAAATGCTAACTGTGGTCATAAAACTGAGCGATCTAACCGTAGAACCATAATGGCCGGATACCAGCCAACTGCTCTGAGGAATCCAGCAACATCGCTTTCTATCGGCTACCCTATTGTGGGCTTGGCCGAACATCATAATTGCTTTCTAAAAAAGTCCTATTAGTCTCCCAAGGGGAAGAAGAGTAAACCGTACAACTATTTAATTGTTTGAAATAATCCTGAAAATCTGTACCTATTTTACGTTATCCCTCCATAGTTTGTGCTTGAAATCGAAGTTCCTGCAAATGTGTCTTCTCCGCAATACAGAGAACTGCAAATTACTTTCCAAGGTTTTTTTTCGGTTTATGAAATATATATCATTTAACATTTTTTCTTTCAAAAAGATAATTTTAAAATCAAATATAAAATTTATATACAATGTTTAATAGCAGTGAAAAGTATATATTTGTCTTTCAGTGATGAAGCAGTATGTATACTGCAAAGACTATTGAAAATAAAGCTAACCTACTACCATCGTTCAAAGTATATAAATAACATAAATGCTTCGTTATAAATAAAACATTAATTTTGAAAATTTGCATTTTCAGTTTTATTTAAATTAACTTAATAGATTTTATTCGAAAATTCGTTTTCGACTGTATAAAATTAACTATAAGAGAGGCATGATGGATCTTAGAAAATATTAAAGTCGAAGCCAAAGACGAAACTCTAGAGGTAAATTCACAACGATCCGACCAGGACTGAATTTATACACAATATAAACAAGCTGTAGATTAGAACTTCGTGCCATGAGGCTACTACAACCTTAAGGCTTCATATTTTTAAATATATTTTTATTTAATGACGAGGGAAAGACCTCTTACATGTTCTAGCTTAAGGTTATAATGAGTTTAAATCCAATCTTGTATTTAATAAATTTGTCCATTATTTTGTATAATTAACGACAAATAGTTGTAAAAGAAATATCTTCAAAAATCCTAATAAGAAAATTGAAGAAAATTGTATACTGTACATTCTTTCGAAGATATTTTCTGTTAAACAAGTGACTGATATGGGATACTTTCAATGTTTTATCCATGCATATTCTTTTGATAGTTTATAATATTTAGTGACAATCTAAAAACATCATCTCGGATTGGATCGTATGTTCTTTAGTATGTCTGCAGATAGCAGAGTATTCTACTGTCCACCAGTGGCCAAGCGGTTCCGTTCCCTGAGTACTGGAAGTTCGTTCGTGGGTTCGCCCCCTTGCCAGGACGGGTTGGCCACGTGGAGTTTTCCGGGTTTTCTCCACGTCTTTTTAAGGATCAGTTACCCTTAAAAGGATCTCCCGGAAGGCATCCCCTAAGCAGATCGCCCAAGTGTTCTTTTGCCAAAACTTAACTAGAATAAACAAACGATAATCGATCGCGTATGATGCAATAACGAGATCTTAAATCATTTTTCAATGTGGATCGTTCGACATAATGTACTAGAGAAAAGTATGATGAGATAGCACGAACTTAATGAATGCGCCAGAGTTGCAACATCTTGACGTTGCCACGAAATTATATATTGTATCATCATCGCATGCAAGAAATACAACAGAAGTATGTAATGGAGAACAGTAACAGATAAAGTCGAAAAATTTGGCTTATCGTGATTCACGAATTTGCTGTTATTCTCAAGTCAGTCATGGGTTCGTCCTGATCCACAACAGGAGTGTCCGGGAGAAGAGAAACAGGAAGCACGTCCTGGTCAAACCGTCCATGAAAATTTATGAAGTTTTCAACCCGGACTCGAGCGCTCAATGGAATTCTTAATCGGTTTTCAGAATTTATCTACAGAAAGAAACGCCTTATTCCTTTATGAAATTTCTATGAAATTTTGAAATCTAAAAATGCGCTTTAAATATTCGAGGCATTTTCCGGACTCTTGCAAGCGCGACTCCCTTGCACGAGTCCGGGATCTGTACATGTTGGGGTTCAATCCCACTTTTTTATTTCTCTAAATGGAAAATTGGACTGGAAGTGACCAGAAACTAATTAAATAGTAGTAATATGGCCGATTATTAATTATTTAACAAAAGTGCCAATGTAATATTTCTTCTATTATATGTGAATCAATAATAAAGGATTGGTTTGACGGGATGCCTCTCAAAATTTTCTATGGAAAGCTGATCTTATTCAAGTGAAGAAAAACCCGAAAAACTCCACGTAACCAGCCATTGGTCAGGAGCAAACCCACTACCAATGTTTAGTGGTTTTATCCATTCAGCCACCGTGAGGAGTATCAATAATAAAAATGATTTCATATAATATTACTCAATTATAATTCTCGCGTAAATAATGGTGTAACAAGATATTTTATGGCGATTCTTATGACGACTTTACGGACTTAAAAAAAGAGAAGACAGCAGATTATAACTCCAAGGAAACGAAACCAAACGAGTTTAATAAGAGTACTGATATTCGGATGATCAAAATGGCAACAATATTAGCTTGCTATTCTGGAGAATCCACGTTCAAATTCTCAGAAATTGATCCGGGTATATCAGGTCCCGACCCTCCCCATTGTAGGCCAAGTCAATAATGACGGTCACGATAAAAGATACTTTTAGTGCTTGCTGAGCAGAAAAAGTTAAAAGTAATTACTCTGTATGGTTTCGTTTCATTCCGATAATAGAGCAATTTTCCAAAACTAGAAAATTGAGCGTTTTCAATCTACAGATTAATAAGCGATTGATTAATCGAAAACTCAGCAAGCAACAAAGTTTTAAATCAAATAAGCAAGAGATAAAGATTAAATTTGAACAATTAAGTTAATTATTAAAATTAAAAATTACCAAATGATAATGGTACGAGTAATATACTTGGTAAAACGGATATTAAGTTTCGGTTCTTTTTACCAAATAACGCAAACATTAATCTTATGATAATATAAACCATGGCGAAATATTACACTTGGCACAAATCTTACATTTTTAATAGACACGCGATTATATATTTTCTAATTAATGTTAAGACTTATTCCACTACTTGTTAATGACAGCTGCTTTTTAACTTTACAATTGTTATTTTTTGTATCTCTATTGGAACTATCAATATGTTTTATCCAATAACTAGCTGACCCCGTCACGCGTTGTTGTGGCTCAAAATATATCTGTTATAAATGTATAACACTTCCCCCGTGGGGGGAATTTTTCGAAAAATCCCTTCATAGTGTACATTCTCTCCACGTACCCTATTAAAACGCCATCAAAAACGCAAAAAACCGCATCTAAAATAGTATAAACAGAAGCGGAGTTCTTCACCGTAAGCCTTAATCCCGTCCATCTCTCTCCCAGTGGGGGAAATTCCGACACGTATATAAAAACACGTGCGTATTCGAATGCGGCGTTGTGTGAAAATTTCAAAGGAATCGGTAGGAACAAACGAACGTTACATTTTTATTTATATAGATAGATAGATGATGATCCGCTTTAGTTCATCCTCACAGAAAAGCAAACTCGCGGAGTTAGCGCCATCTGTTAAACATAAAAGCCTTAATCCTAGATGATATCTTTTAATTTATACGAATGTTAATGGAATAATATACAGCCTATGTCCACCCCGAAGTTCCATTCTAAATATTGGTGAAAGAATTTTTGAAATCGGATGAGTACTTTCGGAGATTACCTGCTGCATCCAAACTTACAAACTTTACCTCTTTATAAAATTAGTATAGATTCTACAAATACGTAGTACAACATTTCCTATAGAGATTAATCATCGTCATATAAGCGGAAGAAGTGTGTATTATTTTGAACTCGAATGTATAAGTTTAGTTTTCTAATAAATCCAACGAATTCCATAAAAAATTCATTTCTTTTGTTGTTGTAATTTTTCTGTCGGAGTATTTGATATATGGAAATGATAATCGAGTCTGGAAGTAGATGAAAGCTGGATTTGACCAATAGATTTTTACAGTTCGTCGATATTTACAACGATTTCACATTAAATTGTTTAACGACAGTTAATTACCCTTAACTGATATTCGCACAAATGAAAATGTGGAAAGAAGTCCTTGCGCCTGTAAAACTGCTTACTCTGCATGGTTACTAAGCTTTGAAGTGAAACGGTATGAAACAGTACTATCAAATTTCATGTTGT